CTTTCTCCATCCCACTTCCTTGAGTGAACAATTTCTATGTGGTACATGATTTTTCCCCTTTGTTTTTGCTCCATTTTCCCCTCAGGGAGAACATCCTTATTAGAAAGCATTATATATAAAATAAAATACCCAAAAAGATCAATTGGTTTTTATAAAGCTTATTTGTATACTACTACCATTTGGATTCCCTAATTTTTGCTAATTCCATTAAAACGAATATGCTTACATGTAAGTGCACATAGATATATGTACATAATTTACATGATTAAATAATTTAAACTGAAAACATAATATTCCCTTCTTTTCTACACACATGTAACACTACACAGAGTTTGCCCTTTCATGGACTATTTTTTCATGGTTTATCCAAATGGTTCATGACCAACCCAAGGTAGTAGTCATTTGCTTTTTCCCCCCCAGAAGCTCAGAAGAAGCAATTGGAAGAGAGTATAGAGCTGATCCAAGAGGAATGTGTGTCAGAGAATGCAGATCACTCTACAGAGGAGCCTGCTGAAGGAGGGCCAGATGCGGATGGAGAAGAGATGACTGATGGGATAGAGGAGGACTTCGATGAAGATGGGGGTCATGAGCTGGTAGGAATTAAACATTTGGTGTCCACACCCTTTGGATAACAACACTAGCATGTCAGCAACTCATTCATTCTAAAACAAGGGTTAAATCATTTGGGGCTTATTTCTTTCTTATATGCATGTATTTAAGGGAACACCAGTATAGTGCTTTGCACATAATAAGTGCTCAATACTTTTTTGCTAACTTAAAATAGGAGGGTGTAAATGAACAAAAGAAACATTATATATGAGATTAGGTATATCTAAAGTCCCAAATGAAAGATTCTCTGCCAAAATGCTTCATCATAAGGGGAATTTTGTGTTTGTGCAATTACAAGTGAACCATACTTGGATATAGTATCCTGGTATCGAAAGACCGTTTACTAGAAGATACAAGGCTCCCATTCTTATTTAATAGTTTTACTCACTAATGATTACTATCTATACTAGTTGTATGGATTTTCTGCAGTCTTCTCACTAAGATGACACTTTGCCATATGGCTAGTTCACCATTCTCTGTGCCTGTGTTGCCTGATAATCAGTTTTTATGATTTGGAAATTTCACTAATGCCTGATTCTTTACATATTTTGTTTTCCTAATATTGGCATCAATATACTGTTCATTTCCAGGTGTCCTTTTCTGCATAACCACATCAGGGATGCAGTAAATATGTGCTGATATGGATGTTTTTTCTCATATTTTATCAACCATGAAATTAAATATATTATCTCAAAGGATTTGACTAATAAAAATCATACAAGGGCAAGTGTGTATGTGTGTGTGTGTGTGTGTGTGTTGCCAACTCTCAAATATCTACGGACCAATCATATTAAACTTGGCTTATCTGAGGTAATAATAGATTCCAGTTTGTTTTAATACTGTAC